GATCTTGTTTTTCATGCTGAATGCTGTTGACCTCCACACAGACTTGAGAGTAATGAAGGCTTGTCTTGCTTTCTCGATCCTCGCTTTGATATTCTCGTTGGTTCCGTCCGCCTGTAGTTGAAACGATGCTTCCGAGCTAGGTAGGTAAAGGAGGTTGTTTCTTTCAGGTTCCTCCCATTTATGCTGATTGTCGTCTGTTGTCGTTGTTGCTGTTGGTGTTGGCCAGGAATCTTCATCACCTCTGTTTTATCTGTGTTCGCTTGAAGTCCTATCTTTGATGCTTCTTCTGCAAGCTTGTTGCTTTTGTGGGAAATCAGACATATATCATCGGCAAAGTCCAGATCCTGTAGGTTTTTGTTTGAGTCCATTTTATGCCTGTTTCCTCATTGCCCGTTGTCTGTCGCATTATCCAATCTACTGCAATCAGGAAGATCATTGGCGATAGTAGACAGCCTTGCCTCACTCCCGTCCTCACTCCGAAGGCTTCCGTAAGTTTCCCGTTGTGGATTACTTCGACATGCAGCATTGTCGTATAGCTGTTGGATGAGATGTATAATTGTCAATGGGACCCCGTAGTAGCGAAGTAGTTGCCAAATGACCCCTCGATCGACGCTGTCGAAGGCCTTTTCAAATTCGATGAAGTTGAGTGAGGTGGAGAGGTGACTGTCATTCCAAGCTTTGTTCAATTATGATCCATAGTGTGGCGATTTGATCAATGCATGAATTGTTTCTCCTGAATTCAGCTTGTTCCGGTCGAAGTTTTTCATCCAGGGCTTGTTTGATTCTCTCCAGGATGATGCGGCTTAGTATTTTGCTTGGGATGGACACGAGCATAATTCTGCGAACTATTTGAATTCACGTAAAAATTTACTGGAGACCAGTTCAACAGAGCTGACACAACTTCCTAGACAAATGAAATATTTAAATTATTCAAGTATTTGCCTCCCTCTCCTTAAACTAGAATTCAGTCGACGCCGGTCATGTAACATTATTTTACCTAAGATTAGGGTAAACTGCATGCAAAACAAAGTTCTGCGCTGTGTGATTACGAGATATGTCTGGAAGAAGGAATTCATAGAGTAAATAAAGCAACAAGTTAAAAATATTCCCCATTTCCATGCTTTTTAGTTTCGAGAAATTTTTCTTAACTTTGGAAGGAACTAAAAGACAAATGCGGAAGTACTTATCAGATGGGATAGGATGCTAGGCTATGATTTAGCCAGATTTTCCCAAGAAATGTTCTACACAGCATCTCAGCAGTCTTTCCTAGAAGGCTATTTTACTTAGACCATCATATGTGTATAATTTTATAGATCTACACTACTTTCGTATATTAGGTAGTCCTGATATGTTCTGCAGCTTTCGTTAATTAACGCTGGTCATTACGAAGGCTTCTGATCATTTTTGGGGGTTAGACAGATATCTTTTCGTGTCATGATTCTGAACTAAAGGGACTAAGAGTCGTTTATGGTTTTTATGACTGCGTCCGTGAATACTACACCTTTTGTTTGTGTGATGGAGTATGTTAGCCCAGGGAAAGCTCTGTGTCTAGATTCTTTTAGTTTTAGCCTGACCACTTCAAATTTCTCTACCAGTTAGAAGTGTATGTTTGGAAAGGAATTAAGAGTTACTATTATTACTATTTGAATTCACCAATTCAGAATCCGCTCTTTTGAATATGAATATGATATATGTAGTGTCTAATCTTTCTTGTGACCAATGTTAATCCTCGATTACATATCAGAGCATATTAGCTCTGATATTTATCATACTCCCTTTTCTTTTCCACTACACTTGGTTATCTTTTTTTGTAACAGTGATTTATCCAACTTGTATATTTGAATTCTGATTAAAACGAAATAATTTTTTGAACAAAATTTCATATTCTCCTGACTTTTTCTCTGTTTTCTAGCAAAGTATTAATGTGCCACTTTTCATTTAAGTATAAGATGAATAGCTCTTCTAAACAGTATAGATATCTTTGTTTTGTACAATTAAAAAAAAAGTGTTAAGTGGTAGTCAGAAGTGGGAATCTGTTCTCCTTATTTCTTTCCTTCTCACTTATTCTGTCTTAATATATATAGTAAGAGTAAAATTATTTAAAAATAGTATAGATGGTTTGAGAAAAAGGAAGAAACGTACTATCATTAAATAATCTGTTTGCTTATCGAAAAATCCAGATAATCAGGATTTATGATTTAGTTTCTTTTCCAGACAGAAGAAGAATATAAAACACAACAAAGATGAATGGATGGATTGAAAGGAGAGGAGATTTTCACAACCTACACGGTGTAATAATAAAAGAAACAAATAAATTAGCTTAGAATCATGTGTAGTTCACTTCATTATATTTCAAAGCCATTGAAAAACATTTTAAAAAAGACGAAATGTACTAAAGTGGATAAATACGAATATGAGAAGATACGAAATAACAGATAAAGACTAAAGTAAACTTCGCGGAATTGTCTCAAATTTCAAGGATTACAAAGTATGACTGACTGACTGATTGACTGAGTTCCAACAAAGAAGGTTATATAGAAGTGCAGCACGTCAAGTCGCCACACTCTTTATAACCAATAAAGGTAAAGAAAACAAAGAAACTAGAAAGAATCATGATGAGCAGAAATGTCTGGCAGAAAGAATAGTATCATGGAAAAACATAAGAGAGACAGTTTACGTGCCTAGCGCAAACCAATAGCGGAAGACTTCCCGGATTATTGCCAGGGTTTGGTTTTACTACTCCTATCTCTTTTCCTACCCAACCCTATTTCACTTAACAATGATTAAGGATGAAGGTGGTGTTCGGTATGCTTAACACGTATCTTAGCTATCGCAGTCGATGCGGTTTTGCAACCTCATCGATTAACTTATCCGTCATACCTAGCACTTTGCGCCTAACATCAATACTACTCATCATATTACACCACCAAACCCGGAAGACAGAACGCAAAGATAACTAGCTTTTTCATATCTTCCACTTTCAATGACCACATGTCATAGCCATAAAGAAGGACAGAACAAACTGCTGTCCCATACACATAGCCTTTGATCGATAACCAGGTACCACCTTCATTATTGACAAATCTATTCACTGACATAAATATGGTGGATTAATTACAAGAAAAGAATTCACCAGAGCTGATTCAGCAAAACATTTCAATCACGGGAAACACGACCACCCAAGTATTCAGATTTCAAACAATTTTTTCTCTTGATGAACTTGACCAAAAAACTTACATCTAAATGTTACAGTAGTCTTCAATAGTTCTATCCCTAATGGGCCGACTGATGGTAGCCACAAATTTAACGTAAAAATGCATTTAAGAAAAAGTACATTGTATAAAAAACAAGTCGCTTCTAACGTATTGTGGGTTAAAACCGAACTTGTGTACTGGGAAGCAGACTGCCGCAAATGTTTCCCTACCATGCTGAAATTTTTGACTATATTATGTATTATTCTAAATGTGATTATCTTCATTTCACTTAGTTTTGACAACATTATTTCATATGTTATTTTTTATACTCATCCATTCTTTTTACCCGACTGTCTGACAACTATTCAACGTATTTTAATCACTTAGACAATGTCACATGTCGAGTGACTCACAACGCAAACTTCAGTGACGCCTTTGAAGTTAAGACAGAAGTATACCAACGGTGCCTACAACCACAGAAGATATTTCCAACTGTGATGGACTCGATTATGCGGAAGACTACACGAAGAGACAAGACAGGAACACACTGGACCGATAAGATGGCTCTAAAAGATTTACATTTCGTCGATGATTTATGTCATAAATTCGAAGACTCACAAGTGAAAAGCAACAGCTTACCAGGAGAAGTAGTAAAGACAGGAATTCAAGTGAACACGAAAAACATCAGGGTGATGAAGATAACCAAAAAACAATGAGAACAACGAACACCAATCACTTTCAACCAAAGGGATTTCAGAAGGGTCAATTCTCTCACTTATCTAGGTAGTATCATTTCAACTACGGGTGACAGTATGGATGGGAATGTCGAAACGAGAGAGAATCGGAAAATCAAGACAGACATTCACTATCCTGAAATCAGTTTTCAAATCTTGTGCACTGAGTACAAAGAAGAGAGTTCGGATTTTCAGCACCAATAGGAAGTCAACCAGTTCTTTTGTATGGGTCACACACGTGACTTTCGTGTGACGAAAAGCATTTCAAACAGGCTGCTGAACATGTTTATCAACAGCCACCTTCGCTGTCTCCATACTGAATATCAGATAACCGGTGAAAATAACTACCAGGAAGAAACTATGGGAACGAGCCAATTAAGAACCTATTGCTCAAGAAATATGTAGGGGAAAATGGAGATGATTTGGAAATACGCTAAGGAGACTATTGAATGATATCTCATTCTAGGCCCTCGAGTGGAGCCGGAGTGAGAAATGATGAGTTGGGTATCTGAGAGGGACATGGAAAAGACCATGCGTAGTGCAGTTGAAATCCTAGAGACAACCAAGAAGCAATACGATGAAATGTAGATGTGCTGTTAAAGCCCCATATTCCACTCAGAACCCAAGGGAATAATAATATTTAATGTTAATAATGAATTATGTAACTTTTTAGGTACAAATACTGTGAATTTCGTACATCTAATCAATGTTCATCATATCTGTTTTCGACTCTAGAACATTCTCGTAATTATTTCTATATATACCAAAAGGCTTACTAACAGCTGTCATTCTTTCCTTTAGACTTTGTGTACTCAATTGTCTAATGTTGACGACCTCCTTCTTCAAGATTTCTTGTATTTTTATACTGAAATTATTTTAGGTTGAGTGCAATTGAAATGAACTGACAAAATAAAGATGACATCACAATATCCTGCTCATTTTGTTGTTCTTGATTAGTTCAAGCTTAATTCATTATTCCTTTGATGTTATTAGTTCACGTGTAAAATCAATAATGGCGTATTTTAAATATTCCTCACAATAGCCCAGTACATATGATCAAATGATTTAGGCAAACAGATGTTATTTCCTTTTATTTTCTAAATAAAATAAACAAAGAAAGTGAGAAAATATTATACTTGATAAAAAATAAACACTAGAACGTTATGAATATATCACAATTAACTGCACCATTTGCTTTGATGACAACACCAGATTTTCATACACTCAAAGTTGAATGGTTTGACAGTCTAGAAGAACTTGAAATGGCTGGTATAAGATGTGCAATAGAAGTTTCAATTAAAAAGAGTGATTTTAATAATTGGGAAGTTATATACCTGTAAGCTTAATGGATTTATCCTGATATATATAATCTGTTTATGAATTCTGAATATCAAAAATACGTATATCTTCCTCTGTATTCTCTTCTTAGAGGTCGAAGTGATCATTGTGTGAATACAAAAATGGAGCCTGGTGGCGAGTATCTTGTACGATTGAGATTGGCTATGGATGATTCATATGGACCATATGGTGAAGAACAACTAGTTGAAATGCCAGTTGAACCAAACTCTGGCTCTGACTTACACAGAGCAATTAAATTTGAGGATTATGAACAAGTAGTACGTATACTTGAAGCCAAGTGAGTTGTACACCATTTTAAACAGACTGAATTATAATTATAAATTAAAACATTTTTCTGGCAGTTAATTCCCTTGGACCAATTTGATTCTATTCTTACAGTATGTCAGTAGTCCAGTCAGTCTAAAACACTTCCACTGTTTATAACTTCCTAAAGAGTAATTCCTAGGAATTCTTATATGGTTATCTGTCTATATGGAAAATTTCTTACTTGTCCAACGTATAAACCACCAATAATAAATAAAATCCTTACATTAGCTGTTATCATATATGAAGTGCCTAGTAGATAGTACTTTGGTTTCTTAAACGACGGATAGTGGATTCCAGTTGTGTTGAGACTGCTGTCATTCACTGGAATCCAGCTATATTCAAGTGTAAACTCCAGAAATATTTGTTTGTAGGCTCCACATCTCACTGCCGTCCAACAATAAAACAAATAACATCCAAATGTTGTATGATACCATGTATATAACCCGTGTAAACTACTTCTGATGGGCACATTTTTAGACACTTTAAAGCCAAACACTGTCGTTTACCCCATGCACTGATTATGCTTAGTCAGCATGAACACAAGCCACCCGATAGCACAACCTTCAGCAGCAAAAGAGTGTGCAGTGGACAAAAATGGAAGGATATAAAGTAGGTTCAACATGCTTGAAAATGAGGTCTAGTGCCTTGAATTTTTTGTGATGATTGGGTTAATTTTCGGGGATAAAGTCATCAGTCGCTCATCTGATCCTCCTACAGTAGTTACCCTAGTTCCATTGTGAAGATTAAGTGGACGCCGCGAAAGGATAAGCAAGAAGCTAAGAACTAACTAAGAGCCTACTGACCAGAAAATATGCCGAGAGATGACATCACCCGCCACGTAGGCCTTGACTAGAATGCGAATCGGATACAACGAGTTGGTCATGGGTCCCAGGATGAAATGGAGGAGATCACATGTGGAGGAAATGAAAGCTAATGGGAAATCGTGAAGTAAGTTAATGAGAACTGTAGACAACAGAGTGGATGGAAATTTTACTGTTGAGGCCCTTTATTCTAATCGGAACCGAAGAGAATTAATAATGATAAAAACCCCAGTGCCTTTATGGGAAGTCCACATGCAGCCTATTTTCGATGCCTAAATGCACTAGATGACAAGTTGTTAGATAGACACAATATCTGATTTTGAGGAAGAAATAAATTTAATTCATTTCTTGTGAGATATATCAATTGATTGTTATGGCATTATATATTTCCAGCAAACTTATCTGTTAGGTTCAGAAGTGGTTGGAATTAATATTTCAAGACCCTTAGTGGTGTGCTTTGAAGCTGATTATACTCACAAAGATGCATTACTCTTAAGCATAGAGGTTATTTTTAGAAATTTTCAGTAGCCCTTGTTCTAGTGTCCTATCTTTCTTCACGATATTGTTATAATGTTTCGGATAACATCCTTTTTGCGTCAGGACTAGAAATAATTCACTTCTCTGGAAGTTTCTGTGATTTTTAGAAACTCATGTTATCTTTAACATTTGAGAATCTACTGGCTGCATATCCGATCACGAACTAACATCATTTAGGAAATCAAAAAACCTAGTAGTATTGGACAGCTGTCTTGTCCTGGACCAGGCCTCTCCATCAATACGTGCCACCTCCATTTGGAACTAGGATCTTTCAGCAACAAGGCAAGCTCACAGACCATTCACCCACTGGGATCCGGCCCGACGGTCCATAAATTCCAACTTCCACCAATTCACGATAAATACTAAAACCGTCACTCAGAGTCATAGGTGAGCAACTGACCTCTTACCTGATTTGGTGGACCACGCTGATCACGACTTCTCACTAGAACTTCAAGTAACTTAGTGAATGCAGCCATTCACCGGTAAGCATCTTGTTAATTATCAGGTGTTGGTTTTCGGGGATTTGATTGCTTTCAAGTTTGGTCACGAGCTGATATCGGTTATAGAGCCATTGGAAAACTAGCATGGAGTGCTGGACAGCTGTTTCCTCCTTGTTTGGGAATCTCCACAGAACGCATCTACTAGGGGTTTGAACCCGTGACCTTGATTGTTTGACATGTTCGCTACTGACGGGAACAGAGTATGTACTAAATTACCTATTTTTTTTTAATTTTCTCTTAAGGCAGGTAAATATTGAAATAGCAGATCAATTTGATTTTACGCCTTTAATGTCTGTGGCTAACAGAAATTTGAAAGAGTAAGTCAGTTTTATTCTCTTTTATATCGACTCAAATTTCAACTAACACAAATTGTAATTTGATTACTCTTGACCCCAGGTATTTCTTCTCTATCAGTCTTTGCCGTCCAACGTAAATGGCATACAAGAATAAAAATGTGTAAACAAAATAAGAACATGTGTTTTAATATTTCTTTTAAAATTATAGGCTAAAGGTTAGTTGTCCCTAACTTAGCCTGGTAATATTAATTCTTTGAATGATTAACTGATCATTTAAGCGAAATAAGAGGCGAAAAATAAATCAAGGGAAAATAATAATGAACAATGGGTTACACAATACATAATTTTCAACGCTTTTCACACGTTTTACAGAAAATCAGGACTCAGATACAAAGAGAGAAGGAGGTTAAAATAGTAAATGACTGGAGCACGCGGTAGAAGTAGCTAAACAGTTTCTTGGGAAATAGCTTGCTCAAAAATGTGGGTCTGGCTTGAATGTTAGATTAATAAGCGAAAACCCGCTGCAGCAGATCATAAAAATTAAGACTTCTGGTTCATCTTGTAACCCTATTTGTTAGCGAAAACGCATTGAAAATACTACTGAGCACTAAAAACTGACAACAAAGAAGACGTATCACTAATACGGTTTAGAAATATAATTAAATTTAAGATGGTTGCCACCACGAATCGATGTCAGCTAATGAAGCATTCACAACTAAAGACCAAGAGACAGTAATGCATTGTAATCTCACAAAATTATAAATCATATATTTTAGAATTCCAACCCAGTGGATGGGTGGCAACATGTTCATATAGGAACTAGATGATTGTCAGTTAACTGTCTTATGGGATCATGAGTACCCACCACCAAGTAGTCTCATACTCAGATGAAGGAACTATCCAGTACACCTTAACACTTGATCTCTCTTCAGTTTACATCGACTACTGTCAAATTCCAAATACCACAATCCAGTTAATTAAGTATTACTTCAAATATGTAGATGCGAACATGTTTCCTTCATTAAAGTAGGCAATATGTGCGAAGTCTTCCCCAAAATTCAGAACTATGTGGATATTGAAGTGGAATTGTATGTGTGATTAGACTCTCTTTGAACCTCTATGTTTATGGCATATTTCAGACGATCCCGTGGAAGGCAAGCGAATGATTCACTTCACTAATTAATTTTGATTAAAATTATTTCTACTCACAAGTTTATCCCCTGACATAATAAGAAATTTGTTTAGAAAGTAATTTTTTGATTTATTGAACATTTGGCGTTTGTTTCAATGCATTTACCAAGCTTATCGTCTTACCTAATTTGAACTAACAAGTTCATCATAGTGTGGACAATGACTTATGATACTCATGAAACACATTGAATTCGCAACTCACAACAGCAATGATCTTCAATATCAGATTCAGATTCAGTCGCTTAAAAGAGATACTCATTCATTCTTGTAGGTCTGTTTAACCTAACTAGTAAGAACTGAGTATATTGCCAGTTTTCCCTTCGATTCTAAGTAGAACATTAGGCTTCAACAGCAGATCTCAATTTCATCCTGTTCCGTCGAGTCCAGTGAGCATTCACTTCCACCTCACAGGATCTCCTCCATGTCACCCTCCCACCCACGTCCACCTCGTCGTCCGCTTTTCAGTTTCAACTCGAGGGTCAAGAGAGTGACATCACCCGACAGTCGCACCTAGTTTAATAGCTGATCTTAGGCCCGGGAAGAGAGGAAAGGTTGGGCGTGGGGCAAATGATCTTAGCCCTAAAAATCAATTCAGTAGCGACGGAAACTTCAAAGCACAGAGAAATGAAGAAATGATAGATTTTAAATATTAAATATTTGGGACTGTTTAAATTCTTTGAATACAGTATGTGGCCTAGAATAACACCACTTAATTTACATTGTATGGAAATTATCCATTAAAGAAGAACGACAGGATTTGTTTTATTATTTAAAGTTAACAAGCAAGGGATTATCCAAAATAATATCCGCCAGTAGTCAGAAGTTAGTCCTCTTCATTTTCACAGATATACCCAGTAAACGTTTCGACAAGAAATGATTCTTGAAAGTCAAGCTGGATAAACTGCTTCAGTCTGTACACGGACATTTAAAAGTTCTACGTTTAAACAACTTCTACTGACTTTCACACAACTTTATCGTCGCAAATGATTTTAATATGCACAAAATGAGTTAAACTAGTTGGATCTGTGAGGTAAAACATGACCTCCAGAAAAATGTCAACAAGCAATTCACATTCAACCTACAAAATGCAGTTATTTTATTTTTATTTTTTTTATTTTTGATTTTTGATTTACAGCTTGATTCCACACTGTATTTTTGGTACAAGTATGGAATTTTCAGCATGGATATCGGTAGCCCAAATTTTGCAGGCCGACCATAGACATCAGGTGTGCGCCGGCGTGGGCTCGAACCCTGGACCATGTGCATGGTCGGCGAGAGTCCTAACCACTGTGCCACCGAGACAGCTAGATTAGTAAAGTAATGGTAGCCCTCCGCTTAAAAATGATTTTTACCTCTTAAATTTTTAATTAGGAATATTTGACTCAGCATATAGCTAGAAATATCTTTGAAGACAAATTCTGAGTGGTTATGATGACTAGATTGGCGTCACAACATTTATTAGTTAATGTTAAAGATTTTGATGGGCTATTTTTTAACGCTAAACTTACAATATTTATTACTGAGACAGTACAATTTATTTTGTTTCATTTTATGAAAGTATGGTTGGACTTTTATTAAAACACGGTGCAAATCCGAATACAGCGAATAAATTAGGTAAAACTGCGATAATGATAGCTGCTAATAAAGGATATGCTGATGTTGTGGAGACTTTAATTCAAAATGGTGCTGATCCTAATTTCCAGGTAGGTTGCATATGAGTTGACTTTAGTATAAAGAGTAAACTATGCGTGTAAAGCATCCATGAAACTGATAGTCTTCTCATTTCCTTGTATTCTGAGTGAAACGTAGGGCTTTACTCAGGCTTTAAGTTGCAGTAGCATTTGAGTTATTTTTACAACGCTGAGGTTGCTAACCTCGCGTCCAACCTTCTCTGCTTACCGCACTGAGGTTTGGGAGTGCGTCAGTAGGGAATCAAGCCCAGACCATTTGCATGTTTGGCAAACATCCTACCACTGAACCAGCGGTGCTTAAGCTGATAAATATACTATGCATTATATACGTGAATTGTCAGTCGGATAATGCTAAATATTACATTTTTATGGTTAAAGCTAATAGATAAAGGAATGTAGTACCAATGCTTTTCTGGACCGTATTACAAACCACTGATTCTTGCTTCCCTATATATACTCGGAAAAAAATTTGCAAGAAGCAAGGACACCTAGTGTTACTGTTGTTGCTAGCAACTTTACACACTTGCTAGAAGATCTAGGCTTCACGGATAATTTGTGTCTCATGTCACATAAATTCGAAGACTCACAAGTGAAAAGCAACAGCTTACCAGGAGAAGTAGTAAAGACAGGGATTCAAGTGAACACGAAAAACATCAGGGCGATGAAGATAACCAAAAAACAATGAGAACAACGAACACCAATCACTTTCAACCAAAGGGATTTCAGAAGGGTCAATTCTCTCACTTATCTAGGTAGTATCGTTTCAACTACGGGTGACAGTATGGATGGGAATGTCGAAACGAGAGAGAATCGGGAAATCAAGACAGACATTCACTATCCTGAAGTCAGTTTTCAAATCTTGTGCACTGAGTACAAAGAAGAGAGTTCGGATTTTCAACCCCAAATTAGGTCAGTTCTTTTGTGTGGGCCCGAGACTTTGCGCCTCCTGAAATCACTTTTAACAGGCTATTGAAGACCTATATTAACAGCCACCTTCTCTGACTCCACACTGAAAACCAGATGGCTGGCCAGAACGAATTAGCAGGAAGAAACTATGGGGATAAACCAATCAAGAACCTATTGCCCAATAAATATGCCAAAAGAAATGAAGATGGATCTGGCACATACTGAGGAAACCACTAAATGACATCACCCTCCACGTAGGCCTTGACTAGAATGCGAATCGGATACAACAAGTTGGTCATGGGTCCCAGGATGAAATGGAGGAGATCACATGTGGAGGAAATGAAAGCTAATGGGAAATCGTGAAGTAAGTTAATGAGAACTGTAGACAACAGAGTGGGTGGAAATTTTACTGTTGAGGCCCTTTATTCCAACCAGTACCCAAGAGAATTAATAAGAAGTCTATGACCTATTTAGTAAGAAAATAATATTCACATAGAATACGTAGACCTCCTCAAAACCTGTTTTGTTTTTCCAGAATAGCTCATAGTAATTCATGTAAAATATTACTGGCACTGCTAAAAATAATATTTGGATTTGAAAGGTGAAAAAATTGCACATATTTTTTTTATTACCAATCACATTCTCCTTGTTACATGGCATATTCATACTTGGTGATAAATCTTCATTGGAATAGGCGACTGAAATTTTGCCATCAGACAAAAGTTATTCTCGATAGAAAAAAAAATAACTTGGAATAATTGTATATCCGTAAAATCTGTCATGTAATGGATGCATAGGTAAAATAAGTAAGAATGAGTAAGTTGAAAAGAGAAAGTGAACACATTGACGAAAGCAGACTGAAAAAGATGTTGCAAGACAAAATGGACCGGGACATGTAGATGTGAATACAATATTCAAAACTCAAAATACGATTAAGTTTTGGTGTTGTGTACCACTTTGAATAATTTTGTATCATGTTGTTAGAAAGCGTCAAGTGGGAATTCTGATTGTATGTCTTGATCTTCAGCAAAATAACGAGTGATTAGTAATAGACTTCATGGACTCATTAAAAAACTTTTAAACTCCATAATGAATAACGACAGTTGATTTTTATATGTGGTGTACCGTTCTACTTCATTTTAATCCTTCTGGTAATTCGGGGATATTACTTTCGCTGGATAGTCAAATTTGTGTCTTTGAATATTGAACGTTAAACATTTACTTACTAGTTGGTCTTTGTTCTACGGTAATGAGTATTTGCAGCTGAAGTGATGGATTCCCCATTACTTTTGTGGTCCTTTAAGCTGTGAATTTTGTTGGTGTAGCTTTAAACACCCGTCAAGACATCATCTTCATTTATTACTTCTTGGAAGATCTTCATTGTTCGGCTTACTTTTGGAATTTTAATATCAGGACCATTGGTTTTGTTATCTCATTACTTAAGAAAATTCATCTGTAACTTGATGCAGTCTCTAGTTCTATTTTTTTTATTATTATCCTCTTGAGTTCTAATTGGAATATCACCATTTCACTCTCTTTTTTGCAGTCTTTCTAGCTGAGTAGACGCTTGTATGCAAGCTTCCGTTTCCTCCTAATACTATCTCCTTGTCATCTTCGGACTCCCAGCTTGTCGGTCCCCATTCGGACTCAATTAGAGGGCCTAGAGCGTGATGTCAACCGAAAATCTTCTCGATGTATATCCGACCCATTTCCATTTTCCTCGGCCTATTATTTGGGCGATCGATTCTCGGCTGGTTCGTTACCAGAATTCCTTATTACTTATTCTTACTAGCCAAATGGCTATCTGATCTTCATTGTTGAGCCAGTAAAGGAAGCTGCTGATGAAAGTCTGCAGTCTGTTGGAAATACTTCTGGCAACCTGCCCGCCAAATGTCTGAACCATATAGAGAAGCAAACTTGATATTAATGCTGAAGACCCACACCTTGTTCTTAATGCAGAGTGGAGAAGATTTCCAAACTGATTTCGGACTAATGCAAGTCTGTCTTGCTTCCCCAACCCGATCTTGCCAGGGTTTGAAATCCTCATCTGTGCCTCCTATAGTTGGAACAATGCTGTCTTGTTAAGTGAAAGAGGTGGTTTCCTTCAAATTTCTCCAGTTTATGGTGACTGATGATTGTTGTTGTTGTTGCTGGTTAGGTATTGGTATGAATACTAATGAAAGTGACTAGGTAAAACAAGGTTCCACTTAATCAGGACATTACAGATTAAAAATTTTGTCGATTTAATCTTCATTTTAAAAGACATATAGATGGCACTGTTTACAAATGATTTCACTAACATAGATTGAATCACTTACTAAACTAAGCATTGTGTTGTTTAAATCTGTCACACTTTTCATTAGTTTCCTCTGAATATCTTTGAAATTTCAACATATGTCAAAATGAATCGTTACACTGCATTGTTACACTCAGCATTATTTACAAAAAACCTAATTAATTAATATCTTAGTTATTTCATAGTACGCCTACATGCGTTACTTTTTATCAATTATATAAATGTATAATTTTAGGACATAAATGGAATGCATAGTTTATTCTATGCAGTTGATGGAGAAAATGCAAATATGGTTCGTTTACTGGTGAAAAATGGCGCACGACCAGATATGGAAGATAAAGATAACCAGTGGACGCCCTTAATTCGTCTAGGTAAGCTTCTGATTGCTAGTCCTTTTATAATACACCTAAATACATGCTTTTTACACACCTCGTACTCCGAGTGTAACATGAAGATTCAAGCTTTAGAGTTTTAGTAACGGTGGTGTTGTTTTTAAGACGTGGGATAGCCAGCCTCATGCCCAATAATCCCTCTTTTCCTGGCCTACTAACTTCTGGGCGGGATCTATGATAATGTCAATCGGGAATTCCGTACGGCTAATGAGCATTAAATCGTTGAACCACCGAGGCACGTACATATACACATACATGCATACATGTCGGAATATCTTACTTGATGGCCTCTAAATTTAAAACCTGCTACTTGTGTGCTCTACGTACCAGTTAAACGGTTTGTCTTTGTACTTAATTTCTCAGTTGATGATGTCTTTAAACATTTAAGAAGAATATCATAGGTATAAGAGTTCTCCATCACAAGACCTGAAAGATTCCATAATAATCCTCAGATAAGTTTCCCTTTCCAAGGTGAATTGTATTCTTTTAACACTAGAATGAAATTCTTGAGTATCATAGTAATGACCTTTGAGCTTTACTATCACTGTCATTCACTTTCATTCATGTTAAGGTGAGTTTTAGAAAGACAGTCTCAAAATGTGCAACAAGCAATTTTCATTAACCTTGAATAACTTCAATCTCAGTTAAATACTTTGTAGTATCTTTTATTTATTATGCAGACATCATTATCAATATTCTACTGCTAAAACAGAATGAATGTTTAAATTCGCTAACTATATGGACAGCAATTGTACAATAAAACATTTGAATACTTGTATGTTCGTAACATGAAAGAAACCAGTATACTTTTCGAGCACCACTGTAAACTATTCGCACTGAAAAGATGAAACTCAATCACTGTCGGCTTTTCAAAATTATATATTCAAAAAACAGTAATCACGAGGAATCTTATTTATTCTACTGAAATAATTTGATTGGTATTTAAACGCTTAAATCAGTGAATTAGAAATCGACTGACAAACAGGCACACTGAGATCAGTTACAGTATTGGCGAATTCTGTTGTTTCTGTTCTGTTCCATGAAGGCTGTGATGAGTTTATTGTTAAGCAAAATTAGTGCTCGACAAATAAACTTTCCTCGTTCACAATGACAATCAAGAATACTGACTGGTCATTGTGTTACCGTTTAAGCATGAGGAATAACTGGAAATAAATTAGCTACTCAAAGAACTTTGATTTTTAACAGAAACAGAAGCTAATCAAGTCAGTTAGAGAACCATTGAAAACCAAGGAGTACTAGACAGCTGTTTCCCCAGCCTAGTTTGGGAATCATCGGCACTACGCACCCACCACCAGAGTTCGAACCCAAGACCTCCCTGTTACAAGGCGAGCTGGCTCGTGTACCATTCAACCAACTGGGACCCGATTCAATGAACAGTGCATAAATTCTAACTTCTACCGATTTGTGATTTAGTGCGACCACCAACCAATGTCATCGGTGGGACATCCATCCTGACACTTGACTGGATGAATCCTACTGGTCACGGCTTCTCACTAGAACTCCAGGAAACTCCATCCTGTAGCAAACCACTAGAGAGCATCAGATTAATTTTCTATGATTGGTTTGTAAGGATTAGATTTTATTACAAGCTGATCACGCACTGATATCAGTTAGAGAACCATTGAAAGCCAGCACTGGAGTACTGGACAGTTGTTTCATCCTAGTTTAGGAATCATCGGCGGTACTCCCTGGTTTTCAATGGTTCTCTGACATCAATGCCTGATCAACTCGTAAAAACAAATCTAATCCCTACAAACCAATCATAGAAAACTAATCTAGTCTTTAAATTTGATCGCAGATTGATATCAACAAGAGAATCACTGAAAACTAGGAAGCACTGGTTTTCTTAAATTTTTACAGTTAGAAATGATGGATCGTCGAATCCCCTGCCAGTGGCTAAATGGCCAACCAGCTAACTTTGTAACCTGAAGGTTTTGGGTTCGGTCCCCAGTGGGATCATGGGTGGGGAGTGCTGAATAATTCCAGACAGGTACGACACGTCTGTTCAGTGCTTCCTGGTTTTCAGTTGTTTTCTAACTAATATCAGTCTATAATCAAACTTGAAACCAACCAAATCCCTACAAACCAAAACTTGAAGATTAATCAAGTCTGTTCTGAAAATAAGGTTTGTTATATGGTATATGTAAAAATTTTTATTACCTGCACTTCAGGCTGGCTGTTGAGAAAATTAAGTATTAAAATAAGGCAGAAGAATGATGAAATAACCAGCCTGAAACGTCTTCACTTTGAAAGATAAGTAATATACGTGTACAATCAACAAAGAAAAAGAGACAAATAGAAAACTAAAAAAGGTTTTCTGGTCCAGATGCATATAGAAACCGTGGTAGTATATAAATTGTGAAGAATGAGACTTACACTCATTCAGCAGGAACGTAGTGTAGATTATTTGAATAGCAAATCACTCTAGATTTCATGAAATAAACGACCTCAAGTTAAAAATCCTCCACAAATAACCCTCAGACCAATTTTAAGTTGGACAAACTATGGATTCCCAATCCTACATTTCACTAATACTAAATAGTGTTCATAAATCATTAGTCAAAGTTTACACTTTTTCTTCTCGAAAAATCATTCAAAGCGTGTTTAGCAAACAATGGTAATGCAAGGGTTGGTGCTGCTCTTCTTGACTGTGGAGCTACTGTTAATAAACAAGATAAATATGGACAAACAGCATTAATCCATTGTGCATTTCATAGAAACCATGTGGATTTAGCTAAATTACTTTTATCGCATGGAGCTGATCCAGATATTAAAAATAAGGTAAGCTTTGTAGCCCGGTTATTTTATTTTTATGTATAGTTTGTGTAAATGTTAAATAAAATTACTCAAAGTGGCTTAAATAAAACGTATCTTACCCATTCATGTAAGTCAAACGTCTAAACAGGAGTGTTTCATAGTCAGGTAGATGAACATGGTAGAAAAAGCTATCAAGACATTGGATATAAAAAGTGAAGTGATAGATAGATAGATAGATAGATAGATAAGTAGATAGATAGGTTTGAGTCTTTGAGATACAGGCAAATCCAGTTGACTAGTCCAAAATAGGACAAATTGCGCACCCAAAATTCCTTTGTCCATCATTATTAGCTAAATTACTGGTGAAAAAAAATAGTTCGGAGAGACATTCCCCTTGTCAACGAGTTCATTCACATAGCTGTACAACAACACACTTGTATACTAAATTTCAGTAGGCTTGAACAATGTTTTGATTGAAATAGTTATTTGGCTATAGCTACAATAACCAAAGAAATATCACTCACATCAGAAATTATTCAAAAATCCAGAGTATACCTGTGAATAATGAAGACTACTCAGACTGCAAAAAAAAATTAGAATTGGCTACATGATAATTATTATACATTTGGTAAATGAAATGTAATTAGTAAAAGCAAAAAGAGAATGATGGACGAGTAGACAAAAGCCGATATATATATATAAGATAATTATAGTCCAAAAACGAAGGAATTTTCATGCTACTACATAGTGATGTGTAATTATTTATTCGACGTTAAAGAATTTCTTCTACCTAGTCCATATTTCTGACTATCCAGGGTGCAGCAGTTTGTAACCCGCATCAGTAGTTCACTAATTAACGTAATTATTAAAACAGAATTCACTATTACTGCATAACGGTAAAAATTTCTTTTTAAAACAACAGAAAATTAAGATGGAACAACCAAAAGTTCTAGAAGATCATAAGACAAAGTAGTTATTTTAAATGATGGAATACAGATCTACTAATATCAGTGATTCGGCATGTAGATTCATCACATTCGGTAGTAAATCACTATAGATAATTAGCTAGAAACCGTGGAGAATTAACATACCATCTCGAACACTATCTACTAAACACTATGGTCATTAGTGTTATATTCTGATTTGCATGAAGCTGAACTTAGCTTGCAGCAGTAAAAATTGAGAAGTTCCATTATGCACTGAATGATAAGTAAGACAATACTTCAGTTGTGCTTCAAGACATACACTTTGAATGAGTTTAAAACAATGCATGAAGTCTGGTTCATTCCAAAACTCTGTTGTAGTGTACTATAACAATAATTATTTATTATGAATACTAAAACTCACAAAAGCTTCCTCTGTGGGATTTGATTCTTCTGTCCAGCTCTCAAAGTCAATCATCTTTTAGGTCAATCTATACAGTATTGTAGATATGACGCTAAACTTGAGATCACTGAACTAAATTCTCTCAGTACATTTTCCCACTGTATATTATTCAATAAGCATCTTTTCTAAAGATATTCGGTAATAATGTCTTACACTTCCTACTTCATTTCTTTGGGAAGTTGAATCAGCTCTGATGGATTAATTACTGACGAAATCTCAGCATGGTTACAGAAGGTTCGTGTGGTATTTTCCAATTTACTTCATTTCAAGAGCAGACGTAATGTCCGGTCATTCATCAAAGGACTGTTTAAAGCGCAGTAGTTCGTTCTATCTTTCTTTATGGCTGCATGATATGGTCATTGAAAGTGAAAGGTGTGAAAAACCTAGCTATCTTTGACCGTACAAGTTTGCTTTCTATCTCCAGTGTTAGGTGGTATAGTATGGTGGGTGACACTGAGGTTAAGAGTAGAGTGTTATGTAGTGTGGGAAAGGCAATCCACGAAGTATTAAAGCTGCATCGATTGTAATTGCTAGGATACGTTTTTCACACGCTAAGTCAACACCCTCCTCTACAAGCTATGTTAGGTCACATATGATTAGGTTATTTAAACGTTAGGAGGAGTGAAAGTTAAACCTGTCATCAGTCTATGAAGTCTTTGATAGATGGTTTGAGCTAGCCATATAGGGAGACGTAGACTGTTTGGTTGGGGACATCAGGATGCTAAGAAGCAATGTCTGAAGGTGATTGGTCATAAGTCTCAAAATCGTTCCCTATGACTCAGATGAATTTACTCTTTGTGGCCATCCATATCCGTTAATTCCCCGTGTCTTTTCAGTGCCACTATTCTTTCCCCCGCACATTTGTACTTAATATAGTTCCTTTCAACCTTTTTTGTCAAGTATTGGTTTTGTAGGGATTTTGTTTGATTGCATGGAGGATTTAATCATAAGCTGACATCAGTTAGAGAACCATTGGAAAACCTAGGAGTACTGGACAACTGTTTCATCCCAGTTTGGGACTCTTCATCAGTACTCACCCACTGCGAGGATTCGAACCCAGCACCTTCTGGTTACAAGGCGAGCTCGGATACCATTAAGCCACTGGGACGCGATCCAATGGCCAGCCCATGAATTCTAACTTGTACCAATTCACAACATAACGCGACCGCTAGCCAATGTCCTCGATGAGTTTTTGCTTTCACACCCGACCTGCTGAACCCTACTAGTCACGACCTTCCACTAGAACCCCAAGTGACTACCTACCTGAATAGGGCAAGTCGCTAGTGAGCATCTCATCGATATTCAAATGTTGGTTTGTAGGGATTTGATTGGTTACAGGATTTCATCGTGAGCACCAATCAAATCCCTAGAAACCAACACTTAAATAAAAAATTCACAGGGAACGACTGATGAAGAGGTTAAAACGTTGGTAAAATAAGAGACTGGACAAACGCTTTCTGTATACTGAATTCGGGGTTGCATTGAGGAATTGCCAACACCTCTGTTATGCACAAATGTCACACCTTACACTCTTTGTACCATTTGACCCCACCTTGTAAATAATCTTGAAAGATGGCTCTGGTGGAGCTGCGTGGCTTGAGTTCACCAAGTGCTCTAGAATTGAGCTAGTAACTGTCTTGCACTGTCCTTCTGATAACCATGAAGGACAATATTCAGAGATGTGTTGGAAAGTGTGCGCTTTGTGCGGCCAATACATTTAGCTTATCAGTATTTCTTAACACTTAAAATCCTAACAAATTGTTAAAACTGTCCCACACTATACCTCTTCTAAGGTCATTCAAAAGAAATCGCAAACTTTTCTTCTGAGATAACTGGCAATAATCAGAAAAAGTATGTTTATCATATGAATTCAGTTCACTAATCATTTTACTTATCTGCGAAATGTCAACAATGAAATACTCATTCTGTGTTCGCGGCTTATCTTAGATAGTCTGTTAGATTGTTTACATTTGGTTGTACCTTAAACAATCAGCAAATCCCATGTTATCTATTCATAATTCGCTAAAAGACGTGCGTTTTTTCTATCTTATTGACAGTAGATGGCTGAAAGCACATGACAAAAAGTCAAAAACTTGATCAATAAAATTCAGTAAACACCAAGGTCTAAAACAAAAGGACATTAGTTTTCTAATTGTCAGTCAGTTTTATGTAATCTAATAAAGTAAAAGATCAAACATGTGTTAACTGTTTTCCTGACAGCAGTATTGACTGACCAAAGTGAAGCGAAGTATGTTCTGTTGATGATTATAGCTACACCCTTCAGATCAATGCTAAAAGGAACAAGGCCAAGATCGAGGAGGGTGATTGCCTCTAAAGGCCACATGTTAAAAACGCCTTTAAACCAATAAGACTTAGACATCTTTAAAAACAATGTTGTGAGTCAATACGAATTCATGAATGAATAAACTATAAGTTTGTGTAATGAATGACACCGACGACAATTGTGACTACATTACTTTTTAGTTTCTATGATGCATAAGAGTGTCTCCATTTTAATGACTTTCATTTTTTCTACAGAAAAACAACACTGCCATTGACATAGCTCGATCACTGGAAAATTTGGTAAGTAAAATTAAATTAAAATTATTAAATATTCCTCCTGGGATAACTTTCCATTAATTAATACACCGTCTTCCCATAAATTCATCTGGGAATAGTTAAGAGTTCATAGCTGATTCTTCTGATTATCCTTTAGTTTATAAAGTAACTTCCTCCGAAAACGTAATCGTCACATACTGTTTGAATAATGTTAACGAACACCATACCATTGATACATTTTGTTTAATTTTCAAGTGTTACATTGTACAGATTTGATTTATTTTAATTTTGATCACTAAGTAACCTCAGTTAGAGAATCACTGAAAATCAAGGAGTACTGAAGAGTTGTTTCGACCTATCTTGGGACTCAGCAATACGCGTCTATTGCCCGATAAGGAGTCCAACCCACAACCTTCAAGTTACAGGCAGGCTCGTAGACCATTCAACCACGTAGACGAAATCCACTGGCCCATCAGTTCTAACTTCTGCCAGTTTGCGATAAATATATTGCGACGAAGTTTTCGGCGAGTATCTCTTGTCGTGACCAGCTTCATGAACCCAGCTGGTCACGAATTCTTAATACCACTTCAAGCGGTTTCACCCTGTAGTCAGTTACTAGTGAGAACCAGGTTAATTGCGGTTGGTTCACAAGGATTTAATTGATTTCAAGTGGTCCTATAAGTGAAAACAGTTCATGTTCCGTCCCAGAGGCCAGATGGCTAACAAACTCACCTTGTAATCTGAAGATCCTAGGTTCCATTCCTATTGGGGTTACGGGTACATACTGTTGAAGAGTGAAAAACAGGGACCAAACATCCTTCCATGACTTACTGATTCTCTGTGGTCCTTTAAATGATGTCATTTAGCTATCCAAATGACAACTTACATTCAGAAATACGACTTGCAACAAATTTTCTTCGAATTGAATGATTCTACTTGTTAGTAGCATAACTGTAAAATGTTCATGATTCAGACAATTTGACAAACTAACAAGGAGTAGTTACCATTATAATGTTATGCCTTAAAATAGGAAATCACATTATATTCTCTAAGCTTGGTGGTTGAACTCCAGGGTTTCCACTGTTTTTCCAGACAACATATTCAGTGCAAACTTCAGCACAAAGAGAAATTGGATTTTTAGCGCACAAAAATTCGGTAAGAATGAGAACGAAACATGTAAGAAGAAGAAGAGCATGTAAGGCATTAAACACTGAACAAATTAATACTGGCAAATTAAAAATTTAATGTTTAAATAACATCTGCATAGCTAAAGGTTCCTGAAATAACTTAGGTAAAATAAGAATCTAAACGTGTAGCTTTATTCTCTTGTGTTTTTAGCTATTTTGTAGCCACTTAACGTAGTACCTAGCCTGTCAGATGCTCTGATGGTGTCCTTGAGACTTTACGTTGCCAGATCTGCCAAGATCAGCGAGAAATTACACAAGGTTAGAAGTGATTTGTGTGTTAAGTGTCCGTGCTTCCCGTCGTGATAATAGTTTGTGTGCCAGTGATTCAGTAGTAGAATGCTCGTCAACACTGCACCTAGTCCGCGTTCGACTGGCATCCGACATACTCCAAAATCTCATCTAATTTGCTAGCCTCTGGTAATTCGAAAAAAAGAGAAGAATGGGTATGAGTTAAGCAACCCCACCACGTAGAAACAACACCACCACTACTACTACTACTCAAGGAACTAAAGCTAATAAGCTACTTAAAAGTTGTTTGATGGGGTACATGAGGTTATACATTTACTGATTACCTATTACAACTGTATGACCTGTGAACGATTTACAACTATTACTTTATATAGGGATTCCTCCTATGATCTGTGTAATGTCATTTCCCTCAAAGGGTGAACAGTTAGTATATTATTTTGTTTAAGTCAGTTTGGTTTTTGCGTTGATTTGTTGAACCGAAATATCTGGCTTGTGTTGACATGCCAGCTTCTAGTACGTATGCTCTGACAACGTCTTAGGATTGACAGTTATGTTACCTGGTGGAATCCAGGGACTCGTCAGTTGGATATGCCTGCAATATGCATCCACCACGTTACATCACTAGAAATCCGAAGACATCTCCAAAGCACCCGTACTAGGAGCCGACATGTCAACAGAAGCCAAACATAGATAGATACACAGACAGCTGAATATGGAGAGGGAAACAGGAAGAAACACAAAGTCATTAGCAGATAATATGATAAGGTTTCAAATGTGAAATGTACACAATATAAGTGATGAAAATTATCCGTATTTGAAAAAATATGCTTAATCATAAATCAGACATGGAATTACACCGGTGGGAAACTTATTGTGTTCAACAACTAATCGTAATTAACTAATGTCTTTTCTTGAACTGTACAGAAGAGCTACATTAATAAGACTAATCTAACTATTAACTATCGTTATTTTTTGAAATGTTCGCAAAACTGTAGTCTTCCAGAATTTTATCTTTCTAAAAACAAGGATCAGCATTATTATCATTCGTCCCTTTTATTCCGAGGGTAACATAGAACTTCAGTAGCATATCACCATTCCCCCCTGTTCTATGCCATTTTCCTAGCTGCCCCAGGATTGCCTGTAAACTTTCATTTTCTCCTCATACAATTTCCTATGTATCATCCTTGGACTCATGTTGAAGTAGGCTTTTGCCATTTACGTTCCACTCAAGGACCTAGCGCGCCATGTCATTTAGCAGTCTCCTCAACGTATGTCCAATCCACGTCAATTTCCTTCTACCCATTTGTTGGACAAAAGGTTCTTGATTGGTTCACTGTCAGGGATCCTTCTCGCCCATCTTTTTCAACTGTTCATCTGATTTTCAGTGTGGAGGCAAATGCTGATTAAAGTCCGCAGCAGGCTGTTGAAAACGCTTTTAGTGATGCACACAATAAGTCTCTGGAGCATGTATAAGCACTGACTCACTTGAAATGAGTGTTGAGTAGTGTAGATCTCCACACTATTTTTAGAGAGGTGAACGCCTGCCTTGCTTTTCCTATCCTTCTGAGATCACAAGACCAACATTACCAGAAATAGTATTACATAGAATTAAATGTGTCCATTCTGGTATAGATATTTCGAATTCAGAAAAATAAGGTTTGAATAGTTTCTCAAAAGAAAGAAGGACCTAATTCACCATAAAACTGCAAGGCTTTTGTTCACTTAAGAACAGCTTAAAGTATACTGAGTTTCAAATATCCAGATCGCAGAGATCCTGAACCTATCGCTGGTTTCAGAAGACTAAGCCTATGCACTGTACCCAGCGCAGAACAACAGAAAACGGTTGGGTTACAAAGTGTTTATTCTTTAACCGATAACGAAACAGATATATAGTGGTTAATCGGTGCCAAAGTCTGTAAATAAACGTCTATGTAATGTACAAGAATACTTCTGATCATATTTCTCCAATCTTCTGCTAACCAGTACACGATTAAGTAATGAAAGCTTTTTTGTATCCCGTCAGTATGGAGACCAGTTCAAACAAACAAACGATTCAGTGTTCACCAGCAGTGACACTGGGTATTAATGAATTCGATACTTTTCAAATACACTTACATATTTAAATTTACTTTCCGAAGCAAATATATTACAGTGGCTGAAAGACCGGTAGTTATTCACCTTAAAGAATATAATCTGAATAGCCTTAAAGGACAAAATCCTTGGACATTCTTGGACATTTCAATTTCATTTAACCGACTCAGGATAACACGTTGATGATTCTCTTATTCTGCTTTGAACAGAAGACTACAAAACAATTCGATTTCTTTACTCTTAGTCCACTAAATTTCAATATTGGCTTCACAAACGAATTCATGTAATTTTCGTGCATTTCCTTTCTGTGTATTCATAGGTTAAACTAGAAACTTTTGTACAGCAATTTCTAAAACTTCTTGAATCTTCTTTCCGATTTCTAATAAGTAGTTGGTTTAACTCACTTACCTAGGGAGCATTGTTTCAACTACAGGAGGAACGGACGAGGATGTCAAATCGAGCGAGAATCGGGAAGGCGAGAAACACATTCATCAACCTGAAACCAATCTGGAAGGAAATCTTCGTCACTCAGCCAGTATCAACAACAAAATTCAGTTGGATTTTCAATACAAACAACGTCAAGTCAGTCAGTTCTTCTATACGGATCAGAAACTTGGCGGGCGGGTCACAAAGAATATTTCCAACAGCCTGTTGCAGATCTTTATCAACAACTGTCTTCGCTCTATACTGAAGATCAGATGGCTGGGCCGGAAAGAATCACCAACAAGAAATGAGCCATAGGAAGAAACAAAACAAGAACCAATCGGCCAACAAATATTCAGGAGAAAGTGGAGATGGATCGGACACTCGCTGAGGAGTCCGCTGAGTGACATCGCGCGTCAGGCCATTGCTCGAGTGGAACCCGACAGAATGGGAAGCGGCAAGTGGGTCGTCGGTGCAAGGGTAACGTGGAGGAGATCGTGTGAAGAGGAGTTGAAAGAGGAGTATGGACTAACATGGATGTAGGTGAAAAGTACAGCAGAAGGAAGACAGAAGCAAGTGGAGACGTGCAGTTGAAGCCCTATGTTCCACTAGGAACCCAAGGGAACAATAATAATAGCTGGTTTAACAGTATTATAGAATCATAACATAAGAATAAAATACTCTTCAGTCATGTGAAAGGTTCAAGTTTGATTTCCAGTGAATGCACTACTAAATCTCGTCTACCCTAAACCAAGAGAAAAGGAAAGGTTGGGAGTGAGGCTTCCAACCTAACAACTATTGAAACTTTAAAGCTTGAAGCCCTACGTTTCCCTCAAAATGCAAGGAATGAAAAAATATCATGATTTCATGACAAGGTTTTCAAAATCCTATCCCCATGCTTGGCTTTCTTCAAATAAAGGAACAAGTTTTGATGCTGACATTACTGTTTATATTTTGGGTTATTTGTAGCCTTCGTCAAACACAAATATATTGTGCAGAAAATTTCGTTCTTGCTTCTCTGACAAAGACAGTTGAAGAAATACTTTGTTCGGCAACAAAATTTGACCCTATATGAAGCAAATGCCGTCAGCAGAAATAAAAGCATGTCTCTCGTACCATGCAAAATTTGTTAGCTGGACTCTCTTGAACTCAGACGCATTTTACTTGAAAATAGGACTTAGATTCACCTGATTATGATCACAAAGTGATGTGCTTCATCGAAAAATCCAAATTCGAATAACCATTTAAAACGCAGATCAACAACTGGTGGATCTTACAGCCAGATATTTTCCTAACTTTTCTACTTTACCATTCCATTTTCCCGGCCGATGCACTCTTAACCCTCTCCTAGCTTACTGGCCGATGACAAGCTCAGGAAAAGAAAAGGGAGACTGAGCGTGAGGTGAGCAGTTCCACCCCATTAAAATAACATCAGCGCTACTGAAACTTGAAACCCTATTTTCGAACTCGGAACAATCGAAAGAAATACGCTGGTATAGTGAATTTTCTCATTTTTTTCCTAGCAGTACGTTTACCGATATAAATTGTGCCAAAACATAATAGTTTAGAACTCACTCATATGTGACTAACACCTTTAATTTAATTTGCTAAATTTTCCAGAATTTCTGCAATTTAATTGAACGATTCAAACGGTTAGCCAAGAAGTGAAATTTACAAAATCTGCAAACATTTATCATCCCATCACCATGGTGCCCATGAATCAGTGACATAATTAAAACAATGATTACTATCCCCAGTGAACATTTTCAAGTAGATACTTTTGGTAGATGTTTGTCTTTACTGTTTTACTTTATTTATTTATTTATTTACTTATTTACATATGCATATATACGCACAAATTCAAATACACACACATTCGCACACGCACCCTCACAGAGATACGCAGTGTACACTTGACTTTGTTCATGAACTGTTTTCTTTCTTTTGTCCAATCCATTTTCTATCAGTTTTGTTCCTAATTTCTTTTACACTACTGCTACTACTATAATGTCATTAATGCTGTCTTGGAAGTTCTTTTCTTCTTCTGTTCATAATGATGATTATTATAATTATTCCCGTTGTTATTAGCATGATTTCGGTTAGAACAAGTGAACAGTGAACAAAGTATAACACCAAAGAACTGAAATTTATAAAGAGAAAACAAAATAATGCTGGAATTCATAACCGCGTGTTTGTAACATAATTTTAACATTCAAACAATGAATGCTTATCCCAAATGATAAGCACCAGTGCTATCGATCAAACCATGAATGAAATGAAAATGCTGTTCAAAAGTGAATAAGGTGAATGCATGTAACAAATAAGTAGCTTATTGAGTAGTATTCTCCTGTCTCTAGTAAAAAAACTGTGTATTAGGATTTTTGACATCAGTAAGTGAATTAGGAATTAGTACGGTAAAGTACTCAATACAAATCTGTGCTAATCAGCAGCGATTAAAATGAGTTTGTGAAGTGAATATACAGAATGCCAGTACAGTATCCTGTATAATATCACACTAGTTAACGTTACAATCAACTGAAAACTTGAGTATGATTATTATCTGGTCTCAGTGATCATTTATTTCCATTAATGGTCAATTTTATTACCTTACCTAGGAAATGTCTAACCGAAAATGAAAAGGATTCAGTTATAAATCAAACAAACCTTGATCATGAGAATACTGTTTATTTAGTTATTCGCGTAAGATCTTAGGGAGAAGTTTTCTTAGCAAGTGAAGACAACCATTAGTGTCCATCAGAAATGCCAAGTGTCATCATTTTTATTTAGTTCCATTATAAATGCACTCACGAATGTGATTCGAACTAACTATGATATCCTAAAGATTGACTATTTTCCTGGGTATAGCATCATTCATCTAGAATACCCAGATGGTTTAGTGTTTCTTGGTGAAGACGCTAACAAAATGCAGTCTTCTGAATACCTTCAGCAAAGTTCAAGTATGCGTGGCATGTGATTTACCCCTGTCAGATGTCAAATGACACCTAAGGACTGATGTGCACGGACCCCTAGTTTTTAAGGATAAGTAGTGGAATGATTAAATGTTTTCCCCATTTCGCTTATTTTGGAATTTCTGTCAGCCCTGACGAACTGATAGCTAACGAAGTGTTAACACACAAAAGTCTTGTTTTAACTTGGCCTATTTACGTCCCCTTTTGAATAGGAATGATACCTGACTATCCAACATAGGAAGTGTACTGCAATGCAATTCATCCTGCTCTTCCTGACAGCTGAAACACGGTCACTTAAAGGAAAATCTAGGCGTTTTCGACCGAAGGTATCCGAGTTTAATGTGCTGTGTTAGGTGGTGCAACATTTCCAGCAGTGATGAGGTTATGCGTGAGGCGTTACAAAAAGAGAGAAACCGAATTGATTAAGTGAATTTTCTTCGACTGAGACAACTAGGACATGTGTAATACATATCAAACAACTGCCTTACTCGATGAATAATGTCAGTTACGGTTTCACTGAAGTAGAAAAGATCTTTGGATTGTTAGATAAAAAGTCGAAAGCTGAAAGTCAGTGGATAGCATACCATAGAGACTCAGTACAATAACGTACACAATGATGCGAATGTATTCACTATTTGTCATCTCCTGGATTCTGAAAATCATCACTAATCTTCATGTGTTTAGTCATTCTCCCACACCGATGTTTGTCTAGCACACTACCATTACATTTTTACTCTTGTCGAAGATTAATAACCCATACCGAAGCACTACGTGAAAAATTGCACGCTGATAATTCATTTTAATTCATTTGCGTGAGTTGGGCCTTATAGATATGAAATACTGATAATAAGAAGAGCTACGTATTTCCCTAAACGACTGAAAGCCAGAGTAGAACTTTGCGCCGCTTGTCGTCAGTTCAAATTATCATACTTCGTGACAGCACACATAAAAGAGAAGAGGGAATATTTAATAATACTTTCAGAGACAAGAGATGTGAAGTAATGATTAAATACCTGAAGATTAGTGTTTCTACTTATCATTCCATCTACCCATTTCGTCAATAGAACATCCGAAATTCACAGCTGGATAGACATTGTTAAATTTCTGTAATAGACACTTCTCCTCACTTATGTTTCTTTAAAATTATAAATACATATCATTCATATAGATGACATTAGGAATGCAGGTCATTTATTATATATTTCAAAGAACCATTCCATAGTTTTGATAGAAAAAACCCCGCTAGGATTGACTGCGATGGTGGTTCCATAGCAACATTAACTGATTGCCTATACATCTCTATTCTCAATAGGAAGTATGTGTTCACCGTGAATCTAAAAGGAGTTCCTTTAATGAAGACGTGAAAATATCAAACACTACATCTTCATTTATAGGTTCATTATATATATATATATATATGCCGTTTGTATCAAAGGTACATTAGTAAATAAATAAGGCACACCCAAGGTGTTCATGAACTTATTGTCTCTGATTCTCTCCATAAACTCAAAAATGTCTTTTATGACTTTCTTGCACAGTGGTTATAAAGGTTCTTTTGACGAAGATGACAATAAGAACAACCATAGAATATCAAAACAATGTTGGAGTATATCAGCCTAACGTATCCCTGATATCATCATTAAGTCTTTCTTACAACAGTAGTTGCTGCATGCGAAACAACTTCATCAAGTTTCATTTCTTTGCTTTACTAAGTCAACATAGTTTTTGGTATGGTGATGTAGATTGCCTCTCTATGAATTACCAATGTCTAATCTATTTCTTCGTAAAATAACGACTTTATGGTACCGCTTACTTTACTCAAAATATCCTGATCAAGTTATGCATATCATTCTAACTTGTGAGGTAAAGTCAAGTTTCCGCTACTTTATCACTAACATGCGATGCTAAATTCGCTAGATATAAGATACTTTTCGGTTTCAATTAGACAAGGATCAAAACCAAGGAAACTAACTCAGTGACTGGAAAGTAACGCACTATCCTCAAAACTTGATAGTCATTTAGAAGGTCACCATGTCTTAATGAAAGTCTCCAAAAATGGAATATGATTGATGTCAACCGATCTTAAATTTCAGCTCATGATAAAGCTCATTATGAATCGATCAACATTCACCTAATTACTATAATATAATAAAATAAATTATTAGGAATATACTACGTATTGTTACATATTACTTCAAAAAATAATAGCAAGTTACATATCAAGGTTACAAAAAAGTACTTTTTGTTCCACTTACCTGACAAACTGCTATACAATAGTTGACTAGCGCAATACGAAACTGACCTGACTTTGTTAAACCGGTGAGTTTTGATAAACAACCCTGTATAGTATGACATTATTAAGATTAGTTAACTTTAAATGCCTACCTTCTTTTCACCAGCTTTCAGTCCACATGCCAAAATTGGCTTACGATCTGACAGATCTTCAACGCTTAGTTTACCACAGCAATCAAGCTAATAAAATATACAGAAATAATATAATTCAGTTGGATAACAAATATAAACAAAACTGAATAATTAACGTTTGATGGTTGATAAAACATGTGTTTCTGCTTTCAAAGAAACCAAAGTTTAACATAAAGGAAATACTTTGGTGTTGAACTTTTATGTATCATTGAACACTGTACTTTAGTTAATTTTTAATAATCAGCCTGATTATTTGGTTCTATTCAGATTCTCATCTCCAACTGTAATTTTCAAACTGGAAGTTCGATTCTGTGTATTACCAGTGTACGGATGTTAGCATTCAGAATTAGGGTGATTTGAACTGATTCTGCTGTTTGAGCTGAGTCATTCCAGGTACAGCGCTGATGAGTTAAGCAGCGGTCTGGTGTTTGGATCACTCTCATCCGCCTAGGGGGCATTACTGCTCGACGTGAATGGTTTCCAGATACTCATATCAATCAACTATACACACGGTCGTGTTGTTTCACAGCTTTTGCTTAAGTAGACAATTAAATGAATACTCAAAAATCATGCGTTAGTAATTTATGAGGGCGTGTAGTATTAATTAGTACTGCTATTCTGAATAACAGCAAGTAGTCAATGCTTAGATTGTAATATTTATTCCTATGAAATAGGCTATAGATAATAGTACAAATGATAAATTAAACTATTATCTCTACTTAATTTTACCATCACAGTATTCATAACAGTGCTAATCTGTAGAATGAACATGTACAAAGTTGTACATCTACTGCCACTGATAACCAAGCTTCTTGTTTTCCCTCTAGCGTTGATACCATTTAATGATTATTATTATTGCTCCCTTGGTTTCAGAGTGGAACGTAAAGCTTCGACAGTACATCTCCGCTTTTTCTTATTCTCTGCTATCCTGTTTAGCCGACCTCACGATTTTCCATAGTCTCTGACCTCCTCCTCGCACAATTTCATCCATGCCACCCACGCCCCGCTCGTCGTTCCCCACTAAAAAAATTTAATGATGCTATTTAAAAAATGACCAATTAAGAGAAGTGAAGTTATCCCTACCAGTAATATTATCCATTAAGGCTTAGTAATTATTTAACGAGTTGCCTGAGAAAGGCATTCCTCTCTGCTGAGCTGTGAAACCACCTTATTTATTTGATGAATGATTCATGCTTATCTGGACGTATCTTAAAATAACTAGTTTACAGAATGCTCGAAGAAACTCCACAACAAAATCATATTTTCCCTTAGATTTGTTTTTATAGTCCTGGAGATTAAATTGCAGCATTTTCCATACACTGAATACACGATAAAAATAATTTGGTCGATAGGGTCTAGTAGTGTAGTAGTTGCTGGGTTTTGGTCTCAAGAGAACACAGTCACTAACTGGAATGTGGGGGAAATCCTGCCGACGAATCCCAAATAGAACGAAACATGCGACTAGGATTCTGCTGCTATCTACCATCAACCGAATAATTCCTAGTTCACTTTGAGAGATCTTAGAAGAGTCTATACTAGGAGGCGATAAGCAAATACAAATGAGACGCTTCCTTTCAGTAAAACTAGTGAATGGGGAGTTTAAGACCATTTCAATAATTAAAAACTCATAAGCGACCCAGCTATTAGTATATTTAGTTACTGGGTAGTAACATATCTAGTTGCATCTCTGTGAATACTCAAATATACAAGAAAAATATTGTCTTGTACTGCTAATCATGCACAATTAGTGTGTAATTTAATAAAACAAAGTTTAAATGCACAACCTACTTCTATAAATTATATTTTACTTACTTTATATTGTAAATAATTAAAAAATTTCGTATCTTCATTGACCATCAAACGTTTCTCATCATAATTATCTAATAGTCTGTTGAACATTTGTTCTAATTCGTAATGAATCTATAAAAATAGAATATAAATTCATTATAGCAGTGTAGAATGATAAGTATTCCAGTTAATATAATATAAAAACTCACATTTTCAGAGTACTTCGTTGCCCATATTCCACAACCAAGTAAACAAATTCCACTAAGCACCAACAGTATGCAGAACTATGAATAATAGAGTTAAAAATGTAATTGTTCATTACATAAAGTATCTATAGAAACATAATGTGACTGACTTTTAATTTTTTGTTATTCAAGGTTTGTGTTTTTGTACTTGAGAAAAAAATATAACACTTCCACAATTAGAGTAAGACGATACGCTGGAGATCACTTATCAGGCTTTATCAGAGCGTTTAAGCCATTGTAGCATCTGGTTTACTTGATATCCCTAGAAACCCTAAAACGTCTAGCACAATGGTCATTATTCAGATTCTGAGTAGAACATGAGGCTTCGGCAGCACATCCGCATTATATTTTGTTCTCTGTCATCATATTCAGCTGACCGCACGACTGCCCACAAGCTTTTATCACCTCTACACACGATCTCCTGTTTGTTTGTCACCCAAGGATCCATCCATGCCCAACACGTGGCCTTCCATCCGGATTCCACGCAGTTGTCTCTTTAACGTGTGTCTAATTCATCTCCATTTTATTCTGCATGTTTTCTAGGCAATAGGTTGTTATTTAGTTCGCTGCCGGTGTTGTTGTCTGCAAAATGACCTCACCAAGTTTCACCAAAGGACAAAATTGGTCTCTGCTACACTGTACTAAAATGTGAGAGAAAATTTGATTATTTATTAGTTCTTGATATGGAAACTGAGACTATCTGAATAACTGACGTCTGTTATGCCTATCTTAGAGACCTACTCATCTTTGGCATTTAAAATGAGGGAGTCAAAACTGGAAAAATGATTTCTCTAACTTATTTTTTATTGGAGGATTCGGTCGTACTTTTCCTGGTCACATGTTGTTCATCTGTTCATTTTTACATTTATTTTCTGAATCGACTGCTTCCTGCTTCATATTATTATGATTCCTCGTATGGCATTAAAACACCTTTCTCAATTTGGTGTGCTTCCGATAATAGTATATTTAACTTCCATATTGTGCTTTGTCTTCATCAAGAATCACAGAAACTTATAATTAAGTGGGAAAACTTCTATTTACAGAAGTGAAATGTGTTGGTTGTGAATCCTGAAGGCATGAAAATGATAAGAAAATAGGTGGCAGATAATGTGACTTAGAGAACACCAATGTTCCTTGCGCAGAGTTGTAATTTTAATTATCGATATATATATATATATATATATATATATATATATATAAGGCTCACCATTGTCAATAAACTCTTTGATTGAGACAAAATTCCAACCCATCCAAGTGGGCTAGTAATTAGAATAAACACTCCACACGTACATGTTATATAAGATCCTATTTTTTAAAGGAAAATACGAAGAAGTGGTAATAATCAAAATTTAATTTTAAATAAATATTCTTATTCCTTATTAAACTTAAATAATTAGATTCACTTTAACATGTAATACTAGAAACTTTTGGTTTCAGATTTTCTTGAAGAAATCAGCATCTGTTGGAATTCAGACAAAAAAGGAATAACAAATATAGTAGTATCTATCGTTGGACACTATCCAAACAAATCAATAGCACTGGTAATGCTTACATTGAACAATCCCTTCTGAAACTGAACATCTGTTACCTCAATTCAGTAACAAAGACAATAGATTTCGTCATGAATTAATGTCGGCGAGAGAACTACTGAGTCCATAAGATAAATTTACAACTGTTTCGTCTCAGTTTGAGACTTCTTCAGTATTGCTTTTCTGAAACTGCAACTCGAATAAAACCCAGAAATGCAAAATTGTGCAATGTAGACGTCGATTTATTTATTTATTTATTATATACAAAAATGCAAGCTTGATAAATTATGGGCAGCAAGAGATATGCCGCACCAAATCCCATCGTTTTTGTGAGGGATGAGATGCCACATGAACACCTAAACCGAAGCAGTCGGTTGTCTTGATCGGCCACCCCTGAGTCTTTGACTTGAAGTCTGATCTACAAGGCAGTAGGGCTGCGTTTCCATAGTTGCTTGTGAACAAACAGGATCATACGTTATTCTATATGTACGGATTGCAGAGTCCATGTACACCAGAGGTTCGGAATTAGGATTTTCAAGGTCGCCTAAGTAGGTGAGCATGTTCACCAGTCCTGTCGTAAGCGCAAGACGTTCACACTTACCCTTCCACTTTTTTAAGGAACAACTTCACCAAGTGAAGACACTGAATAAGGCATACGTGGCAGAGACTATGAGTGCATCACCACATGAGAACATTTCTAGAGGATGACCGAAGTCCACCCATCCTCGACGACATCAGGTCGTTTATGTTGTTTATCAGCCACTTATTACAAATGCATAAACCCAGATAATTTTACGAATCATTCTGTAAGAGAAAAACGGATTCACTTAAATCAACTTACCAGTGAATAGTGATAGCTCATACTTTCCTCTAAGAAAGTGATATTCACTATATGTGAATTCATAAATCCCACTGCTTAACGCTATACATCCAGTGATCTACATTTGTTTTTAGAAACAATACGGAATTCGATATACAATTTTGTTTAAATTACCAAATGGAAGATATTGAATACAGTTAAACAATGTAGTATCCATTTCTGACACAGAAACATTTAAATACACTATGATCTAATAGAAAGTTGATATTTAAAGGAAAAAATATATATCAGCTGAAAAATACATTATAAATTATTCATTATAAGCAGTATTATTGTTCAATTGACCAATATGATGTAGGTATTTCAGACAGTGTGAATAAAGATGGAATTCTTTTTCCGTGTAACTGGCCATTAGGAGTATGATCACCTCATTAGCATACACATTTTCTCTTGATAACTGCGCATAAATTAGTTTGTGTAGAGCTGAGAAAGACAAAGTTATTCAATGAATCATATAACAGATGAATGAATAAACAGTCATTCCAGCTATGTGCACTTATTCCGAATGCATAAACAATCTTTAAACATGACTTTATTGATTTATAAGAACAAAGCTGTTTGTGAAACAGACAGTTACATTTAAAAGCTGTAGATTAGTAGGTGTAGAACTTATTTGAGATATATGAAATATGATTACGAGATGTAATTGTGTATGTTTAGGTAGACTGTTTTGCACTCAACATATAGCCGTAAATGAATCCTTTATTTTGATGCGGTGTTCACTATCCACTGGAGGAGATAAGACAGCACTATTCACTGACTTGGTTACTCCTTTTCCAAGGCGAACAGGTACATGTTCACTAATACGTAATAATAAATTCCTCTGAATACGACCCAAATAACTAGCACCATAGCAGTAGTATACACACATCGATGTGGCCACCAAAGGTAACTTATCTTTAATGCACTGTGTCAGTATATGTCTGATTGAGTAGCTGACATCTTATAATGACGTTTTGATTCATTTTCACCTAGTTTATTTCATCACATTATTATCAATATTATTTGTCATATTAAGCTTGTCTTGTCTGTATTATTTGATTACGGTTCACTATTTGATCTTTTTTTACCTCTATGTTTGTTATTTATCATTCCTCAGACTTACATTTGGTGTGCTCCATTTTTTCGTTTCAGCTGCAGACGAAATGGATGAATTTATCGAAACCAGAGTCGGAAACGCAAAATAGACATTCATCACCCTGAAATCAGTTCGTAAATCCCCTACACTAAGCATGAAGAACAAAATTTGGACTTTCAATCGTAGTGTTAAGTCACTTCTGTATAGGTGGGAAATTTGCACTGGGCGTCACCAAAACCATTTCTAACAGGTTGCCTTCTCTGACTGCATACTGAATATCAGATTGCCGGCCAAAAAGGATTAGCAACAAGAAACTATGGGGAAAAACCAACCCAAAACCTACTGCTCAACAAACATAAGTGGATATGGATCTGACACACACTGAGAAGACGGCTGAGTGACATCGCACACCAGGCTATCGAAGGGGACCTGAATGGGGAACGAGGAGCTGAGTGTTTTTCCAAGGGTGACATGGAGGAGATCGTATGAGGATGAGACCAAAGACTATGAACAATCGTGAATCCAGCTAAAAAGGACAGCAAAAAATAGAACAAAGTGGAGATATACTGTTGAAGCCTTATGTTCTACTCGGAACCCAAGGGAATAAGAATGATAATAAGTTTATCAATAGTTTTGTAGTATCTATACTTCTCTCATACCCCTTCAGATGACTCACCCAATTGAAACCTATATTCTGTTGATTATAAATACATTAGCATGTCACTTATTAGTTTTTCATACCTATCTTATGTTCTGAATAACTGTACTTTTCATATGCATTCAGTTGACAATCTCAATCAGTGGACTACTATTCCACCTTATATAGTTTCTGTTATAACTTTACTTGCCTTTTGTAGTTTTTATATTCTTATATTCATTAATTTATAACTGTAGAACCTGAAAAAAGTATTGAAAATAACTGTTCATTCGAAAAACTTTTCTTGTTGTGTAATATGATTCTTGGGACACAGAACGTTCATTTCTCAGTCTAGTAAAGGCACTAGAAATACTAAAACGCTTTTGTATATAGTATTCTTATATTTGAAATCAGTGGTTTAAATACATGACTACAGTTCACCCAGAATCATTAGTCTCACTAAAGGTATTTAAACACAGCTGTGTATGAATTTTACACTCATAAAATAAGTAGTTAGACGTTAACGAAAATACTAGAAGGTTTTGCAAAAATTCTTCAATGCTTAGATGACAGCAGTGGATATATATAGGAAGCGTGAGTAATTCATTTAACCTTATTCTAAATAAATGATACTCAAAGGCTTGATAATTCCGAAGAAAATAACGTTAAGTGAAAATATATAATGGACACAGATAGTGCATGAAGAGGAGTTGAAACAGTATGGAGTAACATGGATGGATGCATGCAGGTGAAAAGTATAGCAGAAGACAGAAGCAAGTGGAGAGGTGCAGTTGAAGCCCTATGTCCCACCAGGAACCCAAGGGAACAATAATAAAATAATAATATGTGCATGAATATAACTCTTATGATGGCTTTAACTCCTAAGGAGCCACATTTAGAGTTACTAGGATCAACCGGTATAATAATCGCTAACTTTGCTTTCTTCTATATTCTAATTTGTTGTGCTCATTTCTAACTATGAACACAGTTAAACTGTTCTGTTTCATATCCTCACTTTAGTATTATTATTTTGTATGTTAGGTTTTCGTTTTGTTTTCAAAAAGTATTCTTTTTTAAATTTTACATTGCTCTATAGATGCTTCCATATGGTAAGAATAACAGACTATGCATGACATCATGCTATCAACTTGAATAAGTTTATCTGATTCTCAAAGCAGTTTTCAGAGATCAAAGCAGGCGTTTCAGCACTCACCGTACGACTTTCAAGTACAACTTGATACCGGGAACTTAATAAGTAAAGAACACTCTGTCACATGTAACAGTCATAAGGAAGGAAACGTAACAGTGAAGAAAATGTTATTTTCGAACAATCATTTTCAAAAGCTGTAAAGTAATACATGTGTATGTATATTGACGTAAAATTCATGAAACCAACCAAATACCAGTAGTTATGTTCGAGAAAGTTTTACGTAATGTTAGCAACAATTCAGAGGGGAATATACAGGTGAAAGTTTGTATTACGTAACAAGTGTAAAAATAAAATAATAAACTTGAATGTAAAAAATGGAATTGACTAGTCGTTACTTAGTGACCAATGTCTTGCGACTAGTCCATGGGTTGGTATAAACTGAATTCTATCGGTCAGGTTTGCACTATGGTCACCATACTCGGTGTCTGGCCATTGCGATGCACACTAAATGGACCTTAGGTGAATGAAGGTAATCAGTGGGAAGCCCTAGACCTAGGTTTTGTGCTTGTTGACACTTACCAGTCAGCAAGGTACATGTGCAACCCTGAAAGAATTCATTTCCCCCCTGAGGTCTAAACATGTGTCACCCCGTCCTGCAGTCAGAGTCGTTAGCACTGAACTATTCGGGCTTGCGATAGACCTCCCAAAGGAAAATATGGTAGCTTTTAAATGGGAAACCAGTAGTCAATAATAACAATGATAGTAATAACTAGACATCAGACAACAAAAATTAAACAGAATTCCGGTTAAAATATTATCCTGGTCAGGTGCTTGCATTACTTTCGGACAGAAGGATCAGATTTAAGGGCTTTAGGCCATTCTTCCACTTGTTATGTCATACCAAATTCCATTTCTTAGCTTCCACCTGCGAATTCTCCTTTGGATTTCTACTCGCATTGTCTAAAACATTTTCTAAAACTTAATTACTGATATTTGACTAGTTTTATAAACTCTATGTTGAATGTATATATATACGACTGTACAGCTTTTGAAAATGGTTCGCCGAAATGAAGAATTTCATCACTGTTACGTTTTCTTTTCATGACTCAGTGTGAGAAACTTTCTTTCGTATGTGCAGTATTGATTACTAGTAATATCTAGAATTGATTCACACTAACTAGAAACTCTCATTAGCTATTATAAGGTTATAATTGCAACAAACAGCTGCTTAGTCCTACTTATTAGAGATAAATCGTTATATATCCAGAGTAGATTAGTTCACTCTGGTTGGTAGGAAATTCTGATTGCCAAGATTTTGTAATATTTAAGGGAATCAAACACAGTTGCAAGAGATGAAAGATGATTCCTATTTGGGTTGAAACATGCATTTTACCTGACTAAAGTACCGCATATTCATGAACATAATTTAAATTATGAATACTCACCAGTTATAGTTAGGTAGAATTGATGGGTATCGCGAACAAAATCCTTCCTGAAGTACACATCAATCCTAAGCTGTAAGTATTGAACACTGTTTACTTGCTAGTCATTAATTGTTTAGTAAAAATTTTATTAGGTCTTCCAGTTAATAAGAACTTATAACAAGTGTGGCCATGAACTGATAACTGTGAGAGAATCACTGGAAATCAGGGAGTACTGAGCAGTCATTCCGTCCCTAGCTTCAGCTTCTTCATTAGTATGCTCCCATCGGGGTCAAGCCCAGGGCCTTCTGGTTACAGGTAAGTCCGTAGACAGTTCAACCAGTGGAATTCGACTCAGTGGCCCATGAGTTCCAGCTTCTACGAATTAGCAGTTTTAATGGGACCACCAGCTAGTTTCATCAGCGAATATTTGTCCTCACTCCTAACAGGATGGACCCCACTGGTTATGACTTCTCACTAGAACTCCAGATAACTCAGTCCAATGGTTCTCTAACTGATGTCAACTCGTGATCAAACTTGGAACCAGCTGATTTCAACTTACCTCAAGAAACTCCTTTACTCCTTTCCCATATAACGATTCCCAAATCAGACGAAACGCGCATCCTGGATTCTCCTACTAGTCAACATTCACCAAATAACATCAGTATTATTCCTCATATATTATTGAAACGTACGCACTAGGAGCTAACATATCAATAGAGACCGGACATTTCGATTTAATCAATCAACAGGCGAAACAAAAATTGACTTAAACAAAGTCAGAATTTTCATTGCAGACTGTGGTTTGACATCATTATATCTTAAGCCAGAAAGTCAAGTGCGCCTAGAGATGAAGTCTTAACTCATCGACGAAAAAATTCCTGTATATCCAGGAAAAATAAAAAGTAAGTTGACAAGTAGTGTTATTTTATTATATTTCTTGAATAGTGGACATCATATTTCATATAGAGAGTGTCGAATAATTTACTTAAAGGTACAATGTTACGTGTCTTATGTTCAACTTAAACTACCAAAATCATCAAGAATAAATCGAACTTATATGCTGAAAAGAGATCCACTCAACCTCTTTTTTAATTTTACTCCTTCGCATTCCAATTGGAACATAGGGCTTTATGCTTCAGCTTTGAAGTTTCAGCAGTAGTGGTAATTATTTTTATGGGATGGGGTTG